TCATTAATTTTATCAATTCCCTAATAAAACATCAGTTGCATTTAACAAACTTGATAGTTTAACAATAATTGGTTAACTAATCTTATAAAGTTGTATGACAGAAGTGAGCGAGAATAATAGATTGTCATTTCTATTTTTATTCTTTCCAAATCACTTATATGTTTATGGAGTATTTTGTCAGTAATTATAGTGAAAGCTTGTTATTTGCTCAGTACCACGGCAGTGAACTCAGATAATTCGTCATGATTCACAGAAACGCTTGAAACAAGCAACGTAGCAAGAATAATTGATTTTAAAAGTGCTGCACTGAATGTCACGTGTACCCCGTGATGAAATATGAAGGCCAAAGATACGAAAAAATATTTTATGAATGGATTTATCACCGAGTTATATATATATATATATAAAGCGTTAATTTCATGAAAAATTATGAACAATGACGTCATAGAATAGTCTTAATTCTAGGTTATATATTGTAGCTGATATCAATTGAGGGTTGCGTAACTTCTACTTAATATGTGCGAATAAAAAGGTGTGCAAAATTATTTTGTTGACATAGGTTTACAATGTGAACAGAATAAGATGATGAATATATTTTCGTCATAATAAACAAATTTATTAATGGAATTAAATGAAGTGATGTTATGATATACGAGAAGTAATTAAATAAAGAGGAACATTTTCAAATGCAAAATCAATCAAACAAAATTAAGGCAATAGTATTGATAATGCTTAAGGGCTACAATAAAGATGTGGATAAGATATCTTTCCTTTATACGCAAAAGTCAGGTTTTATCTCATAGATGGTAAGAGCTTTTGATTATTCAAATAGCTGAAGACGAAGAAACTTTGATAGATTTGCACGAACTATATTAATAACCTTAAAATCAGCATGTGTGTACGTCGATAGGTTAGCGTAGATTAAATGTTTAAGAAAACTAACCGATTCTTTCTCATCCCCTTTGAACCATATCCATATTAAAAGCAAGCACTGGCTACGGCCTATATATCTTGCTTCATAATAGTTGGTGAATTGGAAGATGCAAATAGAAGCGATCAGACGAGGAGGCCTGATAATAAATTACTTGTAAAGAGATTTCTTCGCTGAATTTCGTGTTTTTTTAATGTTTAAACGGAAATCTTAAGTATGATTAAACAAAGTGATGCCTAATGAAGAAACAGTCGAAATATTACGGTAAATGTGCTGCTTTTGTTAATAAACGTCGTTAGTAATAATTCAGGATTTAATTTAACAATTTATGATAATACAAAATCAACTATTAAGTTGTGCTTTATGTTGATCGTATTTAATGTTATTGACAACGGATTAACCTGATAAATAAAACTTAAACTTTTTCATTATTTTAAAATGTTCGAAACAGATAAGGTTCAGTTACCAACATATAAATTAGGCTCTGCAATTCAGAAAAAAAATGAGACGAAGGTTTTTTAGCTATTTTGTTTTCTTAAAGTGTGAGTATATTTTTATTATTCATTTCAGTGTCATGTATTTCTAGAAATCGTCACGTTCTGATTTCATTGTGTAGTAACTTGAATATTACAATACTGCCCGGATTTCCAGATCGAAACACGTGTTTTTCTTAGGGGACCACACTCGAAGCCTTTGACTTAAAGGTCTGATCTATAAGACGGTGGAGCAACGTCAGGAGATGTAGTCCCATGATAGCCGGTAGCCAATAATTGGTTCATACGCGACTTGTTCCTTCAGGATATTGGAGCCCATCTGGAATCGGGGTTTTCTAACCCCCCTTAAGCGGACCACCAACCTAGTTAAAGCGCCGGACATTCACTTTTCGTTTTCTCAATTTCGTAAACAACACCCCCACCGCGAGAAGGCTGTGACAAAAACTAGTTCATTAAAATACATCAGTTATTTCATAAGAGTATTCATTTCTTTAAACTCTTGTTCATTATTTAGAATTTATTAGTATGTAATACTATTCTATGAATAATAATCAATGTCATAATTTGTACAAAATGATAAATGACAATAAACTTTGTTTAACAACTTCATTTTTCATTGTTTTTTTTTCTTTTAAAAAACGTATTAAACTTAATGTAAAAGTAAACGATATTACTTTTAAAATCAAATGACCTGAATCTATGTTAACAGACATAGGTGAATGAGTATAGAAACACAGACTCATTTACTAATACTCTACTAAGTAAACACAAAGTAAATTGATATGATGATTTCTTGTAATGACTAAGAAGTGTGATCAATAATCAAATAGATTCATGTAACGACTTAAACAACGTTCAATAGTCATTAAATAATACACATGCTCAAAATTTATGCATGAATAAGATAATTCCGTTGTATTCTATTGAAAATTACGAGTTTGGTTTATTGCTTCATGTTCCAAAAATAAAACAGGTTTAAACAGGCATTAACATTAAAGTAACATGAAAGTTACTCATATCAGGAAAAGAAGATATTATTAGGCCGAATTCGGATGATAGGTATATATGTATTTATATTACATATGGATATTTTTTCATTGTTTTGTCATTCTGAACAAGGTAATAATACACAGTAAACAAGAAAGCTAAAAAGTTGTAATAAAATGACTCTTAACTAATAATGGACTCAATAAAGGAACGTTTTTTTTTAAAAATTTATCACAGATTAATTCAGATTGATTTCGTATTATGAATGAGTTAAATCTTGTTTCATCGTATTTTTTACCATTTTGAAAAGTAATGTATACTAATCGATCATTCATTTTATGTACTGCAGTGACTCGTAAGTTAATGGGTAATTTCCAGGGGATTGAATATTATTTGAGAAAAGTTTAAGAATATTCAAAGTGATTAAAAAAAAACAGCAAATCATTTCATCTATTATTTTCTTGAATTGGAACTCTTCACTTTACAATGATCAAATACACATTACCTATTGCAATTGGTAATCTGTTGAAAATAAAACTAAATCTTGTTTGCTCTGTGTATAATTATTAGTATGTCTTTATACAGAAGAATAAAGAAGGAATCAATTTTTAAAAAATGTTTTTGGTTTAATGGTCATCAAATCACTGAGACGTATATCGGTAGAGCAAAAAGTGAGGTTCTTATTCATGTCGAGTAAATCTCACTGAAATTGACATTAAAAGTACAACGTATCGTTTAACATTATATACGCCCGTCACTAGCTCGATAAAGGACATGAAGCTGAACTCACAAGATCCTTAAAATTAGTCAGTAAATAGGAAAAAATAAATCTACTGCTTTTCAAAGAAACTATCACTAACAAATTATTGGAACACATTTTATGTGTTCAGAAAAGGAATGCCGTTAACTTATCTCTGCTCTACCAAGTTTCAGTACTTAGTTGTGTATTGGCTTTTGTTTGGACGTAATTGATATTACATTTGTTGTAGTTTAACTTATGTCATGAAAATTCCACTGCCCACCTCCTCTCTAAAATCATTCAAACATACATTCTAAAAGTAAACAATTTTATGCTAAGTGTCCTGATAAACCCTTGTTTTATCTTCAGTTTCGGATCAGTACTTTGTTGTCAATGTGATAAAAATGTTTTAAATTTTCTAAATTGAGAACTCACATTATTTATTAAGTTATGAACAGCTAAACCGAATTCATGAACTAATTGGATTTATATTATTTTTGTAATATTACATTTTTTGCATTATAGAGATTAGTAGAGGGGAAAATTAAGTGGCTTACAATGAAGTAGATTTTTCACTTCGATAGAAGTCTGTAGGTTGTTTCCTAATGGATATCCAAGCATGAAGAGAGTAAATCGAAGCTAAAGCAGACTACTTACATTAAAGATATCATCATGTAACCACTTAAACTAACACATGACAGCAATTTAAGTTGTGACAATGAAAAATAAGACTGGATCTGTGTACCTTGGTCTGTGAAAAAACAACTAATTGTTCGAATGTATTAATAAACTGGATAACTAAATAAAATCACTATAAAGATAAAAATATATAGGTTATATCCATTAAGTAACTGTAAGTTCACCGAACTTTGCTGATGACTTCTTCCGAATTACATGAGTATCGTCTTTGATGACATCCAGACAGAATATTTTGGAGTCATATATTTTATTTAGACATCATTATTCAATAATACAACATATTAATGAAACAAAAATAGCTATTTGTGCAACTAAAAGAACTTGGATTTCTCACAATTTAATGTGAAATTTTAGTCTAAAACAAAAGTATGTTGCATTGAAGAGTGGATTCTTTTTCTTTGGTATTTTTTATTTTAAACTGAAATTAACTGAACCACTACGCGTTGATACAATAGGTCTACAACGTTCAAATACATTATATTTAAACATTTTCTCATTTTAATTGTGACAGAGAAAATTAGTAGCTATTTAATGCAATAGATATTTGTTCCATAATAAATAAAACAAATTTCGAAAGCTGGAAAACCTATAAAATTGCTTTGATTAGGTAGCTTTTAATTTATCCTAATAACCTGTTGACTAATCATTATTATTGGAATCGAATTGTCTACTTTTAAATAACCCGAAATAATTTTATGATAAAAGATTTTATTTTTCGAATTCGGAGAACATTTATGAACGAGCTGTTTTACAGAAAACTAGACATTTTCCATATTGGCGTGGTCCAGTGCTTCCAGGTTTTCCATGGTGGTCTAGCTTCAATTGACTCATGATATCAACAGTTGAAAACCTACAAGTGTTGTTAATATTATCTGAGAGTGTGTCATCTATAACAATAAATTCTTGGGATAAGAATTTAATTGATGGTTTAATACATTTAACTGTACAAATTACTATCAAATAAGTTAGTACTGTTCTTTGACCGATCGTCACTCTTTTAAGTCTCATGTATTAAGTAATATATAGGATTGTGACTAAATTATCGAATGTTTTTCTACATTTGTAGTTTGACGTGTGGCATTTAGAAACATTTTAAAAATATCACATGCAACCGATAATAAATGCATAAATCAAATAATTATTGGCTTACTCCGCATAGACGAACTAACGCTAAAGATAGATGCTGTTTCTGAGCCACTTTCATTTGTTTGAGATATCCACGCTGGATCTAAACTTGGACGATATGTACTGTGTCGGTCCTGTAAATTAGTTGTTTTAAAGGATTCACTTGATGTACGAGGTGCTGCTGGTGTTGATGAACGTCCTGTACGACGACTTTGGGATGGTCTCATGGTAGCTGAATAGTTAGGATAAACTATGTCATTAGGATCATGGCACTTCTGATTGATACCATTCGATAGTTTGTTGAGATTATATGCAGATCTAGATTGGTTTAAATGATTATTCTGATCATCAGACGTTGCCATGTAATCTATAAAGGAATTTAACAATTTATAGGATGTCTTGATAAGTAGGTTTGCTTTAAAAATCAAATAGTCCTTTGATTTGAAACGAAAAGAAATGTCCTCAGTGTATTGTACTTACATAAATATTGAGGTAGACCTGAATCACTCTGAAAAATGCAGAAAGGTCAATTTTGTCATTGAATGTCGATTAATAATTAGTTTGTTCACAGCTTTTATTTTCTCGTTTTTCGTGTTGTGACTGTTTTTTTATGAGATTTAGCTGGATCCTACTCACTTAATCATTCAAATGATAAATACAGATAAATGCATTTAATAACTAACTGATTGTTTAAATAAAGTTAGCTGAAATGAGATTTGTCCATTTCTACTGCCTTAATTTATGTCAACACTATAGAACAAGTAAAATGATGATCCAAATCACTCACTTCGAAAAATGTATAATGTTAATAAAACAGAATAGGTTGAAGACAACACAGGAGCCTTACTAATATTTCATCTTTAAAAATTGTCAAGTTGCACACTTTTATAACTAATTCCTTGTTTTGACTTATATAATAAGAATATTCTATACATTTTCTTTTCAAGAATGCTTGCTGAATAGTAAGATTTCGAAAATTATTTTTCTTTTATATCCATAAATTAACATTCATGCAAGAGATGATTTATTTTTCAATTTTTGTCTCCATTGTATTAGAATAAACGTAGATTACTATTTTTGTAGTCACTTTCTTCGTCTGTATTTTATTATAAACTTATGGAATATTACAACTAAACACTTGATCAAGTCATGTATTTTGGTTAATTACATATTTTAACTCAACTAACATTTCAACGAATGAACTTGAGGATGATATTCCCAATTAGCTTAATTGATATGAGATAATTAATTAATTCAATAGAATTATTCATGAGATGAAATCTACTTATGAACATGAGCGAGGAATATAATCTGTAGTGACAGATATTAATTTGCATATGTTATAAGAAAATTGCTTAAGATAAAAATAGATGGAAAGATAAGTAAATTAAGCATGTCGCCTAAAGAGTAATATAAATAAGCTTTCTCATTCTGTCTTCATATCGCGAGACTAGGACCAAGCTATATAGAATGAAACAAATATTTAATAGTAATTTAGAATTTTCATTTACTAATAAGAACTATTTCATCATCATAATCGAAACAAGTATTTATGTTATACATAAAAACTTTCATCTAAATTTGGACAAACAGTTTCACAGTAGTTAGCTTAGTTGATTTAGTATTCACATAAACCCGAGACTTAGTTTGTTGTCTACTTTAAGTTTGATAGTTTTGATTTCGAAGATTCTGATTAATTTGATCTTCGTTAACATTTTTATTTCTGACTTATGTAAGCTACAAATAAAGTAGAATGATGTAATATAATTCTGATTGCAACCAGAATACGATTAAAAACGTGATTTATCAAGTTGAGAGACACCATTATGTCACATAGTGGAGAACGTTACACAGCTGAATGGGTGAAACGGAGTTATTTATATATTAAATGAGGTGGTGAATATTATAGGAAGTAAGAGCGAGTAGCGTACGGTATATCTAAAGTCGAATATTTGGTAACAAGATTTAAATGTCAATTTTTAAAAAGATCCCAATGACATTCACAATTACACAAAGTAGATGGGCGAAAACCACTCAGCGAAACTATGGAGAATTAAGTGATGAGTAAGCATGTCAAATCCGTAATAAATGGATTTGGCATAAGATAAAAAGAATTACGGAAATGAAATAGCTTGATGATTTTATATGCGAATTTGTAAATATGAATAAATTGAATGGTGTGACATCTCTTCTAAACGTTTACTTGTCTTGAGATACAACCTACTTAAGAAGACAAATGCATAACCCCTTCAACACGACGAATAGCAGATAAGAAATATTGATGATAAATACAACAGTAAATCAATTTGAAAGGAAAAACTTTCTAAAGACTGTTCATCTCCTTGATTTCAAAAAATAACAATCTTACTTTTATTATCATTAAAATCTATGGAATCAGATATAGAATTTAACTGATAACCACTTATGCTGGTATTCATCCATGTATTATTTCTTATCATGTGGTTCCCTTTAAGTGTATTACAATGATCTTTTTCAAATTCAGGTAATCCATCTACTTCAGTTATTCCATTTTGCTTTGAGAAGTCATTCAGTCGTCCCATACTAGAACACCTTTGCTGTGATCGTATACGTGAAAATGATCTTCGGCGAAGATTACGCTTTAGATAATTACGAATTGGAACTAAAAATGCAAAGGGATGAAAGGAATATTTTGTAATATAACGTAAATAAAGATATAGTCATTCTACGAAACATGAAATTTCTCTAGTAATCTGTACGAGATTCTATCAAAATAACTAAGCAAATTTAAAGTTAGTAGTAAACCTTCAGTCTACATTTAATTTGTAGAGGAAAGTTCTTTTTACTGCAGACTCAGTCAGCTACAACGTTGGACCAGGCACATATATGCATCGGTTCAAGTTGCCATACTTCATTAGCACAAAAAGATGAACACCGAATTGATACTACAATGTTAGTAATATATAAAAGAAAGAATGCATACAAGGATATAATACAGGAAGAAAAAGTTAGTTCGTAGATATAAAAATATAAAGCAGTTTTATTCTGGCGGTTTAAGGGGAGACAAAGAGTGTATACACCTACTCCATAGTGATCGATTCTGAGCCATGTCATCCAGAATCTCCAACCATCGGTTATGATAGTCGCGCGGACCCCAACCAAGTAGTCTACCAGCATGACTCAGATCAGAAGTTAGTGACTTCAAGGACTGATGCCACGTTTTGATTTGACCGCCCTTAACTTTCTTTTAACCGTCTCTAACACTAGTCAGCTTTGGGCGTCGTGGTAATCGGTGTTCAGGCTTGCATAACACTTTGCCCAACCATCTCAGCCTATAAAGATTCACAACCTCATCAACTGATTTAACATCATTCTCTAATACCCTGCGTCTAACCTCACTATTCGACTTCTTCACTCTCTATCCTTAGTTTAGATGTTGATGCAGTCCAGCCCTGAAGTAACAATTCGCATTTAGAATGGGAGAAGCGCATCTCGAACATCCTGGCATTGTTGCTCAATGTTACCAAAACACTCTTCATTTTATCAGTGTCTTCACCAAACAGGAATATGTCATCTGCTCATTCTAAGTCGATAAGTGGACCTCCTGGAAGGAGGTCGATTCTTGAAAATCCAGTCGGCGAGAACGTTATTTCCAGCAGTAGGTCTATGATGAAGCTGAACAAAAATGGGGATAGTGAACATCCTTGCCGGAGACCAATTGAAGTTGCAAAATCAGATGGCAATTCTCCGTAAGCTCTGACTCGACTGGTAGTGTTCGAGTAAAGAGCCTTCACAAGGTTTATATACTTCTGAGGTGCACCTTTCAATGACAGAAACTGACACAGAACATCTCGGTCAACAGAGTCAAATGCTGCTTTTAAGTCAGGAAAGACCACCATTATTGGACACCGATGAGCATGCCTGGGTTCTAAAATTTGACGAATGGTGAATATGTGGTCGATACAGCCATGACCAGGTCTGAAGCTAGCCTGATTTTCTCGTGTTTGCAGTTCACGAGTCTTAGTTAGGCGTCCGATAATTATTGAGGCTAGTATTTTAGACGCTATATTAGTCAAACTAATCCCTCTATGATTATCACGAGATAACTTGGACCGTTCGTGCGAAACCATAAAGACTGAGTTCTGATCAATTTTATTGTTTGATAGTAGACGAATTTGGATGATTGTTATCACTTACAGCTATTTTAGCACATGTTTAGCCACTCCTAATAGGAATTTGTGAATAATACCCCCCTATGTATATTTTTCCACATACAAGTAAGTTATTAAACAGATTGGAACACATGATTCAATTGTTTACAGGCAATTTATGTTTTTGACGAATCTTGTACATCATTTTTTTAATAATCATGACTTTAACTGCATAGCACATCACACTGATAACCAACTTAAGTCTTCGTTTCAGCTCATGAAAAATCTAAAATCTTTAGTACACATTATCAAGGATTGCATTATTAGCCACGTTACATTTGCTTGTGTTTTATGATATTGTATCCAGATGTATATATATGCATACCAAAAATTCAAGTCCAATCTCGTTCCTAATGTATATAAACTTAGTAGTAATTAAATAAATTAACAGCCAAAATTGTTTTATTTTTATTGAAGTTTATTCTGTTTGTAATTATGACTTAAGTGTAGATTTTTGTTCGATAAAAGCTTTAAAAAAAGATTATTTTCATTATGATGAACAGGAATGAACTTTGACATACTGTTACGATGATCATGTTCAAACAGGATTTGAGTTCTTATTGACATATAAACGTTGAAAAATTAACATGAAACTTGTGTTATTTTTTTGGCTTAATCTCATTATGCTAAAACGATTTAACTGGTCTAAACAGTGTTACATAGTATTATGATTATTAGAACGTAATTAATAATGATAATAAACTCTAATTTTGTGTTAAACTCAGATTTTTCTACAAGATAATTACTAGACTAGATAATAATTATTATAATCCAGTTGACCGATAAGACTGGATGTTCAGTTATTTAAGATATAACTGACCATAAGTGCTGGTTAGAACAATTAGCATGCCTAATGATACAATCTACTTCGATTTAACCAGTAAAATAGTAGTAGTTAAATTATGCAAATAAATTTCTGTCGCGTATTCGATGTTTAAATTGGATTTTTTTTAAAGTGATAAGTAATACCAACATTTAAGAAATTAATTTTTATGATTGTATTATGTTCCAAGCTTTAGTTAGTTTTTCAGGTACTTCTATCTAGGTAAAAGGTTAAATTGAATTTTAAAAGGGAAAAGAATTTATGAAATATTTTATGAAAGAATTTGGTCCACTTAACTGTCTTGTAAAAACTCAATAAAAGCCAATAATATACAATAAATAATTGAAATAAACAAAACATAACCAACAAATGGGATTTCGAAACTGAAAGCAAATGGAATGCAAAATTGTAGTTATAGGAATCCATAACAAAAGTATTAAGTTGAAAGAGTATTTTTCTGACATAAACCATATATGCTTTTCAAATGGACAGCAAAAAATAAGAATCTGAACATTGTGAAACTGGAGTTAGACCCTAGGGGTAGGGTAAACATGGTAATAGAATGTGATCTGGATAGATAAATAATGGCCAAGTGAATTTATTTGAATAACCTTCTGAGACTTAAAAGAATAAAGCATAATCATCCAGAAATTCTGCAAACCAAAGTGGTAACCCAGGTTACGTGTTTAAATTTGGTTAAGATTTTCAAAATTCCTACCTAGCTCATATCTATCCAAGCAAATCCGAAGTATTCGAAACTTTAAGATAGTAGGAAGATTTGCTTATGTATATGCTTCAGGATGAGTAATTTTGCGGTAGATCTCAATGATTTGAAGATGATTTCCTCCGAAAACTTGTCTCATGATTAGAATCATTTAAGCCTGAGCAGTTTCAAAGAGCTGCTAAACACTATTTTACTTAACACCAAAGAGTTATGCTGATATGAATGAGTGTGGTGACAAATGTCTAAAGTAAGGACCCGTGGATTCTCGTTTGTAGACCTAAAGGTGCCATCCATAAACATTCCTGAGAAATTTGAGTCGCTCTTTATTGACTATTTTTAAAGGGCTCTTCAATTTACCTCAGTCAGAGATGAAACGTATCGCTAAACTGTATAGCTTTATTGTTTTGATGAAATAAAAATAAGAAAAGGTTAATCTTTCGAAATTGATAGGAATAATATGAGGTTTACAATTACTCATTTTTCATATAACTGGATAAAACGGGAATCTTATTAACATACTTTAACATATATGTCAAATCGTGGAGTACTTACCAACATCTTGTTCATGAAAACCTTTAATTAAATCTGCTATTTCTATGTGATTAGAAATCATTGCTTGTTCATAAGTCGTGTGTCCATTGAAATTTTTTATATTTTTATCAGCACCTCGAAATAACAACATCCGAGCACAGGATTCTTGCCCGGTGTATGCACATATATGAAGTGGGGTGTTGCCGTTCTTCGATGTTTGTACATTAATTTCAGCACCGTAGGCAAGTAAAATTTCCAAATGTTGTACACGACCAAATCGACATGCCTATTTGAAATAATCAGGAAAATATTTGGGCAGAGGACTTATTCTATAACCACTGTGAAGACTGTTTAACAGTCAGCATATGCATGATTAATTAATAAATGGTTGATTTTTACTTCAGCCCAAGGTTTTAATTAATGTTATCATAAACGCTGTTTATTTACCTTTCCATCACATACCCGATACCAGTAAAGGAGGTGTACATGACATGTTCAGATAAAAACATCTAATTACTGGATATCTGAAGCTCTATAGGTTTTACAATACAACGTATATATGGTTATTTTTAACAAGGTAAATAAGTTAGAAAATCAAAAAAGATTCTCAGTATGGTTGCAGAGAACTGATAGGTGAAGAATTTCGGAAATCATATTGCCAATAATAGCAGAATGTATATTAAAAGAAACTCCATTTAAACAAAAGATGCTTGATATCATGTGATATAATTTATTTTCTATATGGTTAGATGTTTTAAACTACCATTAGTAATGAAACAGTGTTTACCACATGTAAAGTGCGGATTACTTTGTAGCGAACGCCTAGTGTTGATGCCATCACTGAAGACGAATGGATAAACTCTAATATTATTATGCATAATATGAAGCTTCTTCAACATAATCATTCTTATGTTTCTTCCTTGCACTTATGCACTTCGTCATTCAATATGATACAATCATCAAAGGTAGCTTAGAAAACCATCAACCATTAGTGATTTCTGAGTCATCGAGTTCTTAACATTCTACAAGTCACGCTAAGAAATAAGGTTAATAAAACTATAAATGAAGAAATATTATATCATATCAGACTAAAGAAAACTGTCTGAATCAAAGTGCCTTCCGGTTACATAAATCGTCCACTATACAATTGCTTATAAGCATATAACCAATGAGACGAAACGTTCAATGTTGTTCGGACCGTGATGTAACCTGTCCATTGATTTGGACTAAACTACGAGTAAATGTTGTATGTAAGAAGCACTAAATATTTGTTTCCTCAAGTCAAATATTTGGTAAAATTAATTGACCAACATTGTATAAATGTATTTGTGGTTTGATCTAAATTACAAACCTTGTAGGATACAGGTATCGATTCTTGGAGACGCAATTTAATTGTCATTTATATCAACTGAACGTTATTTACATAGGTACAATAGTTTTCAATTAATTTTTTAGTTATATATATCGTTATGTTCGTTAGTCACAAAATATTTTGTTCTTACTGATTGTACATCTATGTATAGCAGTTTACAGTAGAGTATGTAGAACCTACAGAATATTGTAACCACAGGCGACAACAAATTTCAATAGTAAAATGATCTTTAACTTCTTGAAAAGGTCGAAAATAAGTAGGTGTTCACTGCAACTGTCCAACTGTTTACCAAGTTGCTTGTATTTACAGAAACTCATTTTTCTTTTATTAGTAACTTGTTAAGATTTAGTAAACAAGTATCATATAAGGTTTGTAAACAAAATGCTGCTAATTTTTTACATCAAGTTTAAATACAAAGGTTTCAGGTCATTATTGATATTTACTCTGGTGTACATATTCTTCAACTCAAATCTCAGAGATAGTTGATATCGATTTCATAGTCCAAAATGAATAATGTTCTTGCATGTGAGTATTATTAATAATGTTTGACTTGATAATCTCAAACTAATTACGCATTTAGTGGATTATTGACAGTGATAAAATAATGATATATATGTATTATTTAAATGAGTATAAAGCTGAATTCCTAACATTTCTAGGCTAAGTATAAATCGTTTACTCATGGAACTAATTTGAACCAAATTACTTTTATTTCTAACAACTTACAGTAAATTCACTTGTTGTCCTACTTGAATCTTCCCATTGCTATTTAGGACTGCAATTGATCAGTTTCATGTTGGCATATGTGCATCCTCGATACAGCCTTAAGTCACAAGCTTCTTAAGCAAAGATGGATAGTGGCTAGTAGTGGGATCCGGAATACGCGTTTCGTCCTATTTGGGACCCGTCAGCTGGAGGTACCTGCATTCCAGAGTTGATGTTCACTCTGGAACTTGAGCACAGTACCGTTCGCTTCAAACGCCATCGCATTCTGGATTCCACTGCTAGCCACTATCTATCTTTGCTTAAGAAGCTTGTGACTTAAGGCTATATCGAGGACGTCCGCAACGGATGCACATATGCCAACATGAAACCGATCAATTGCAGTTTTAAATAACAATGGGAAGATACAAGTAGAACAACTCCAAGTGAATTTAAATTTCACCCCATTGCGCAAGCAGGTGGCTATCAGGACTCAGTAGCTAAGTGGATAGAGTTATGGAGTTTGAAGCGAACGGTACTGGGTTCGAGTTCCAGAGTGAACATCGACTCTGAGATTCAGGTATATCCAGTTGATGAGTCCCAAATAAGATGAAACGCGCGTCCTGGATTCCACTGCTAGCCACTATCCATCTTCGCTTATATAACGGCATTGCTATTATTTCCAGTTGTTTTAATTTCGGTAACTGTGTGGAAGTTGAAGAACAACTTCAAGCGAAATATATTATTTTAACTCATTTGCTTAAGTTTGGAAAATTAAAAGATGACTGATTTACTGTAAATGGACGTATCCGGTAGCCAGAAAGTTAAACAACAAAAATTTAATCTAAATAGATCTTGAAAAGTTTTCCTTCTTACACTAAAAGACAAAGGTGCCAGAGCATGATATTCCTCCTACAGTAAAATCGTAGCTAATTCAATAATGAATAACACATTCGAGGGTTATTATTACCTTACAACATCACATACGTGATTCATTAAATTTCGAATAACACGCTATTCATTACATTCGCTCTTTATTAGCAGTTTATTAAACCATAAGTTATTTTGCGATTTGGGGGGATGTTTTCCTCTAAATTCATTATTTCTTTTGTTTTGTTGTTAATTCATGAATCGAAAGATTGATGGATATGTATTAATAGATAAATGTTAGGAAAAACGTTATCATGGTGAAGTAAAGTAGAATTTATTATCACAAATGTATATGTAGTCAATAAAATCTCTTGTTATTTAAATCAACATTTACGTTTGTCAGTCATCTCCCTTTTTATTATTTTCCGGTATAAAAAAACTATTTTAAGAAAAGTAGTTTCTAGTGCTTATATTACTCCAGATGTGACAATGATCAAGAAAAATACAGCCATACGATCTATGAGTAAATCGGCTGCCAAAGATATTGTCTGATGAGATATCTGTATAACATTTATTACGGAATATTTTTTACAAACATTATAACTCATAAAACTCACACAAATTTAAAAATTACATAAATTTAAAGCTTTAACAATATATTTGATGTGGATCATACAATTCCTGAATGAGTAATTGGATGACCCCATTACTGTTTAAATAATATTCAACAAGATATGATAGTTTCTATGATGCATTAGTTATTTAAATAAACAAAATAAACTACCAAGTCTACTTCAGTTTTTTTTCCAATTTAAAGAATTCTACTAGTCCACTATTTCTATAAATTGTCTTCTAATTAAAGACTAACAGAATTTTAAAATATTTATTCAGCTTTTGACAACAAAATACAAATATTATTGTAGGTTGAATGTTACAAGAGCTCGTTCATGCGGCTTACTAGTCCCAGTTATTAATCATTAACCAATGAACTGATTGTTTCGTTTGAACTAGCTGAAAACAGTTAGCTTTTATATTTTGACAGTACAATTATTACTGTTCAGATAGTCTAATAACTTCCATAAATAGTATTTAACATAGTTTACTGATAATTTTTAAGAAATTAATTAATTTGATGCCTTTTTGAACAGTAATTATAAAATATAATTATAGATATTTTAAAATGTTAGGTAATGTTTAATGACAATTTCAATTGGTTATGATATTCAAAATAAAGTCACCTGATGTATTTCTTGAAGTCCTGCTTCATCTGCTATTCCAAGAGGAGAATGATCAAATAGTAATCGTTCAACACATAAAGATATTGTGTTGTTCAATACTGCATAATATAATGGTGTTAAATCTGCCTTATCTCGTGTATTCGGTGATTGACCAAGATCAAGAAGTACCTATAAAACATACATTGTAGATAAAGTCAACTCACCAGAAGAATGAATAAAAAATAAATCAACGACTAAAATCAACTACCTGAAAATATTTAATATCGATCCGTAGCAGTTCGGTTATTTGGTTAAGACGCTAAACAGGATTACTCGAAAAAGTAATTCAGTACATTTATGTTGAAATAACAGAGGCAAAATATTTAGATTTCCTGGGTATATTTTCGTAAATGAGGTCAAGTTAGGCTTAGTAAAATTGAGTGACTATACAACGGTTTATTACGTAGGTTATTTTATGAAGAGTTCGGTAAGTATAAATGTATCTCTTTCTACTAGCAGAAACAAGTTAAATCATTATTTGAAATCAAAAGGTTAATAGACAGACTCAACAGGGTTGACTTCAGATGTCAGGTTAATTACTTGAAAAGTTTGTTTAAACTGCATGACATTCCGTTAACATTCGCTTTGCTTTTATTTCGCAACATGACACTTTTTAGGTGAAAAAGTTCTATATTTTTGGAAACGTGATCATTACTTATTTTTCCAAACTGAACACAATTCCGTATCTTATCTGTCATAATCAATAAAAAGATTCTCAAAATGTCGTCCTACATATAGCGATTTACGAAACAATGGTTCATTAAAAAAATCAGTCCTTTATTTTTCCAAACACATTTTTTTTAAAAACTAACAAAAGTATTCATTCTAAACAAAATGTAAGTTTGTTTTCTATGTTGTAAACCATTACTCTATTGCTTATTTATCTAAAGAACCAACGAAACAAACATTTTTCCATTCTACTTATCATACTAATCGAATCAAAAAACATCTAATTTTTATTATACATGCAGTTGTACATTTATAACTACAAAATACTTTTTCCACATTTCAGATTATTTTTGACAAGATAAAACTATTTTTTTCTAAATCAAGATATTTTTCTTGAAACTACTTGAAAAAGGTCTTGAGTAGTATATCAAAACGTAAAGATTAATCAGTTTTAAAATAATTAATGACGTGAATGACATAGTGAAGTGATAACGCTTCAATGACTTTCAGCGAATCAATAAATATTATCAACAAAGATTCAGTACTTCAACAAATGAGCTTTTTAAGCAGAAATCTTGTTAACTTCAGTTTGTTTCTATGTATATGCTTTATCTATATAAATGTTGATCATTATTACAATGTTCAAACTAGTCATAAAAACCCATTTAACAGTGGCATATTTTAACATAATTAGAAGTTGGATAATGCAAATGAAATTTATTTGGGGGATTGATGTCACTTAAATGTAATTTGGAACAGCATGAAAAAAAGACATCTTCAATGGATGTTCACTTGTGTTACATTATGAAATTTAGTATTGATATATATGTGTCCGAATAAAAATACTAATCTGCTCTGTTTTTGTAAACTAGCATTTGACAAACGTTATATGAAAGACCAATCAACTCTTAAACAGTAAAGTTGTCAAATATAGGTACTAAAAATTTTTCTAAAGTATATGATGGTCTAATGATTAAAAGTAACCTCAAGTATTATCATACTTTTGCCTTCATAGTGTGATGTGTGCTACTGATGTTGACAGATATAAGTAGTGTGTATCATCATCGAAAGTGGAGTGCCTGGCGGCAGAAAGTTGTGAGAATAGAAGACAACGAGATCAGATAGTATTTGGTATGGAAACGAAGAAATAACAAAGTTTGAGACAGTTGATGGATATTTTGCAAATGAAGTATTACTGTATGGTCCTCAGATTTTACCAAGATGTTCTGTAGGGTTGTATTAAAAGACATTTAGTTGTCCCCGGCTTTGTTCTCGTTCACTACAGTAGCACTATGTCTTTGATGGATTTTTCAGCAAATAGTCAAACCTCAATTTATCTGAGTTCACTTGTCTAAGCTGCTTTGTCGTACGTTAAGCATAGCTTAACTAAGATTAGTGAACTAATTAATAACTGTAATTTATAAATATTCCAAGTACAGTAGTAAAACCTATTTTCCTTCAACCTACATAAGTTATGTTAACTGATATTAGTTCAACACTGGTATTACAATTATGCTAGCTGTTAAAATAATTATAACAAATCAAATTTTTCCTACATTACATAGCTTTCATGTTTCAGCTAATGAAAAACTAGAATTATGTTTCGAGACTCGGTACTTAATAAAATCTCACAAACTATTGAGTGTTATCGGACCATTGTAAATATGGTGTCGTAGAGCTATGTAAAGTTTTTTAATTACTGTTACGATTCACCTAATTTCCAATAACATATCGTTTGTAGCGTAGAGTGTATTGTATTTGTTCATCTGTCTTTGAAATGTTCATTTAGTTGTAAAACCTAATGTGTTATGATCGTCTTCTGGATAGAAGTGCATGGTTTGTAATTTAAAGTAGCAAATCTCAGGATGAAAATTATATCATATTAGTTGTTAATGGAATGGCCTTGGATGAGTGCTTAGATAATGGTCAAAATTTATTAGATTTTTACTAGTAATCAATAAGAACTCGTTTTATATGATAGAATAAATTACCATTAACCCCTTAACAGCTAAATATTTTTCTTCCAATAAACAGGTAACTTGCTGACAAACCAAATTTATCACTATTGTGTTTACTAGATCTCAGTACATTTCATTTTATTTAAACGATAAGAAATTCTGACCTAGTATATAATGTCACTCCATCCTAACTGTTAGTCAATAAAAGTTGTTTATATCATAAATACGACCAACAGTTTACTTGGTTCTGTTTACAAGGAAACTTTAAACAAGGTAGGTAGTTAAAGTGAAAAGTTTCAATATGTTCAAAATTTGAAATCAATCAATGGATTTTGTGAACGACCATATGAACATAAACATGTTAAATGGTTAGTAATTACTGTTTTCCTATGGGTAACGCGACTGGATTACAAAATGTCAACTTAAAAAAATATGAAGCATATATGGAACAATATGAGGAAATTTCGTGTACAAAAGATGGATAATTTATCAATTTGGTTTAAGTGAAATTAAACATTCTCTAAATCATCGTCAACAGTAATATGGTATTGTTTTTCTAAAGAAAAATAACTGCAAAATTATATGCACAAAAACATATGGTTGATCTTATCTAGTCAGGCGAGAACAATAGAATTTTCTATTTTTATTCCTAACATGAACTTCCGTGTGGATGTGATCAAGTAAGCAATCGTGAATCATAAAATAACATGGCCATGAAAAGTAATGTCAAGGATGAAAACTCAGATATTATTTTTGTGGATATTTCTACTAACAAGCAGCAATGTATTTATGCAACTATTGTATGTTTTAAAAATCATATCAGCACTTGTCCATTCGGATATATATTTCATTCTGCATAATAAAATCACTTATTGAATCACGTTTGCAGATTATTTAGTAGATTGAAGGCAATGTCACAATCGAGTTCTATGTAGTTATCGATGTCTACCAATGACTAGACTAATTAAATGCTCTCAGTACAAAATTTTCATGAATTTAGTTGGCTTAAAAGAAAAACCAAATTATGACTTTGTGCTTCGCAATATTTAACAGCTGAAAATGCTCTAAATTCTACGTAAACTCAAAATCATAACAATCTCTACTTTGCAAAATAAAGGGAACAAGAAACTTAAGGAAGGCTATCTTGACTAATTGAAGACGTGTAAATCTGTATGCCATTACGTGATAAAAGTGGTAGCCAGTTCCTGAAGTGTTTTAAAATACAAATAAAATGTGTCAGTAAACAAAACTTCCGAAATTTTATGAAACAGATACTAAGCCCAGAAGCAACTGTAAATGTGATAATGGATGATCATATCAAATGCTGTCGAACTAGGAGTATTTAACATCATTATTCACATGTGAACCACTGTTTAAAATATAGTAGGCTAGCAATTAAAAAATAGCACCAAGAACGACTTATCAACAGACTTTAGAATATTAACAATGGGAAATTGAAATAACAGATATTTTTCAAAGATGTAATCAGTTAAAATAACTTATACATAATTGAAAGCTTTAAAACACATTTATCAGACGTTTCTCTACTTTCTATGAAGACTTTTAATACCGATAATTATTTGTTTCTTGAAAATATCTGTTTTTTAGTATTCTTTTCAGATTATATTCTCTTTTTTCGACTTGTTGCTTACTTCAATTCCTTGTTACTTTGATTTCTCATTCTGTCACATTTATTATATTTATGTGAAAGTAATTATAAAAATATAAATCTGTTTCCCATCGATAAAGAAATTGAGTTGAAATTAAATATTATGTAATTTATGCAGCGATATTACACAGTAACAGTAACCCAATTATCAAACATTGCAATTCCTAACATTAGGAAAAAATTCCAACATCACAAAAGTATTACATGAAGATGAGAGGATATTTAAAAATAAGATGATTATGACTAAATGACTGATGTGAATATCGTCATTCCAATGAGATTTAATGTAATCTCAGGGTCGATTTCTCGTTAAGAACTAACTTCAAATACGGAGATTTTGGTAACTTATGAGTGCCGAATTGTTACTTCATATATGTCCGGGTTTTATAATCAGTGTTCACCTTCTATACAATATATCATAGCGAAATATGAACTGCCATTTCAATCTTAATTTTCAACCTGTATATAACCGAGTAAATAGTGACTAGTGGTTTGGAAAATTTGAGCGTTGGGTAAATGATATTCCTTTACTTTAATAAAGCTATCAGCATAAATTAGAGGAACGTTACTGAAAACAATTTTGTTTTACCTTTCACAGATTGGAAAATATAACTTTCTAATAATAATGAAATGGTGACTACTTCAGAAATTCAATTGCTTCCGTAGATTATTACACTATTAAATTATA